CAAGGTCAGCCGATGGTTCTGTCATGGTCCTCGTCGTTGTGTACTGCTAGGAGATGTGATCACTAAAAGCACCACCGTGGTTCTCGCGGAGGGCTAGAGAAACACGCAGATGAAGAGGACGACAAATACAGATAAAAAGCAGCTTGCCCGACGAACTGTTCCCTGAATGATTCCTCACAATGGCACAGTTTGACAACGGTACCTTGTGGTTAAGCCACATTTACGTGTCCTCGTGGGTCGTCGAAAGCGCGGGTCTCTTCATCGGGGAACGCCGTTCACGCTTCATTCATCATGGACTTCATGAACCAACCGCTCTGCAGCTATCCACTCAAGCTTCCGCAGGTGGCGTAAAAACCTCTTTGATGGTTCACCTGACAATGTCTTTGCTAGCACCTTCTTTTGAAGAGGCGCAAGAGGTCTTGTCGTATGTGACTGTCACTTCCGCTTTCCTCTACACGGATCTTATGCCCAAAACTTTCCCAATGAGTGAGCATCCAAGGGACGCCGTTCACGCTTCCTTGGTGTACCCGGGTGCCACCAAGGCTGGGAGCGCCTTCCTGTTGGCCAACGACGCTGCTCACACTTCTTAGGACAAAAACCTCTCCCCGAGCATTTCATTTGTACCACTGAGGGGTTCCCTTCAAGCTCCTTCAAACTAACGACTCGCTACCGTAACCACAACCACCACACCAAGCGAATTATTAGACAGTGCCATGCACCTGAAGCGTACGACCACATTACTCCGCGGCATGGTTAACGTCTTAACAGCGCCGAGCTCTGCGATATTTCCTGCCATGCTGCTGGCATTTAGGACCTTCGACGCCATGCGGAACGTAGCCACCTTGCATGACCTGGAGGCCAGCCCACCCGAGCAACACAGAGAGCTCCGGAGTATCTTCATGGAGCTCTCAGACCAGCTGGGCTTCTTCGCTTGACACCTTCTCCATTTTTGCCTGTGGTGCCACCTTCACAAGCAGCCGGTGAAATCCAACTTCTGCGGCTTTTACGAGCAAGCCGAAGATTTGTTGGTGACCACCAACGCAGTCGGATTTCTCGAGGCCTGGTCGGACCAGCAGAAATTGTGGGCGGACATCAAACGCCGTCGGGGTGCTGCCGTGGTGTTACACAGGTATGAAGGCATGCGGCAGCATTCCTGGGCAAAATGAAAAGCAGCCATGATTGCCGCTTTGGGCCTGATAATCTGTGTCTCCGAGTTCAACGCGACCTACACCGAGGATGGAACTCAGGAAGGGCCCCAGCTCTAGCATGCAACTGCCAACTGCACCTCAGCGGCAAACTACGCAGCCATTCTTGGCACAAACAGCAGACTCAGGGTTTCCTGAGACTGCCTTGTTATTTAACACCAGAGTGTTCGTTCCAACAGCCGAGAGCATTTCCCCTCCCCATTTATTGGAAAAGCTACCTTTTGCTCACCATTATTATCCCCCTTGAAGGAATCGGCCAACATTGTACTGGAAACTCTACCACACCTATAAACATACGTGCCTGTGGAATTCACCACGCTCATTCATGACCAAGCATAAGCGGGTCTGTACACTTTAAATCATTCACTAACCTAAGGTGAGAGCGTTTCCACCTCGCAAAAAGACGCCTCTCGCGAAGATAACGAGGTATCTGACACGCCTTTTGTTGTTTTCATCAAAGACCTGCCCGCACAGTGCAAGTCTCGTACTCTCGTAACGGCTTCCAATGAAGCCGTCCCAGCTCCGCTGACCGCAGTTTTGCTAAGCGTGGGCTTGAGAATGTCAAGAATCTCCCATATTGCAACGTTGCAGAAGCAGAAGCCACATCGTCGAATGTTGAGGGAAATGCAGTCAACTACCAGGAATGCCAAACAACCCACTGCGACACACAATAAAAGACGACAGCGTCTGGTTCAGCACGTACCATTGGCAGATCTGCCATTTAGTGTCCTATCATAAAACAACGGTTGCAGAAATGCCAGCACTTTACATCAAAACCGGTGACTTTGCTGAAACAGGCATGGTCACCGACTAGAACCATCGCCGAGAAAATATGGCGCCAAGCCGCATCACTGTAGGAAACTCCGAGTACCGTGAGACTGCTCACTGCATCCCAGAGAGGAACATAAAACCACTGCGACTGAAAAGTCACAGCGTGGTCAAAGTACTGGACCACTACGACACCGTCAATATGGTACCCCAGGCTTGTCATCGACAAAAGCACCAACCAAGCCTTTACAGCAACATAGCGAATGATCAAAGTGACATAGCCAGTGCTGGTGACCAGAACCATCTTTGATACACCAAGCAACAACGGCTTTCGTGATGAGGAGGAAAACGACAAGGCTCGGATGGCTCCGCGAGAGCTTCTTGCTCACCAGCGATGAACGCTGCAGAAATATGGTACCCCCCACAAATCTCTTAAAGTGGAAGATGTCATAGACCTCCGTAAAATTCAAACGGGAGTTTATCCAAATTTATTACGATTGTACAAAATTCATCCGACCTTGTATGGGCGCGATTGTCGGTGGTGTGGCGACTCGGCACCGACCCTTTACCATATGTCGTGGAGTTGTGCTGAACAGCCAAACGAACTCGGTCGCTTACAGCGTATGTATAGAATAGAAAACTCTTTGGAGCACTGGGAGGCACTCCTCGCTAGCTCGAACCTGGAGGTGCAACTAGCACAACTGGACCGCGTCCGGCAGGCGGCGCAAGCTAGTGGAGCCTTTGCCATGGGCCCCACCCATCTAGCTCCTACAACCCTTCTTTTGCAACCCAATAAAGAGTTTTCTCTCTCTCTCTCTCTCTCTCTCTGATAAATTATTATGTTACGTTTGTGCGTGGCGGAGTACAGCCCTTCTTATGCAGCCAAAGTCGCCTAAAAGAGACGCTTTTCGGAGATAACCAATTCACATTACAGTGTGGTAATGACCGGCCTCCAAGAGCAGCCAACCCCACCACCACAAAAACTGTCGGCAGCTCCGCGCGCGTGTAGCCATGGTCAACTGTGATGACTAAAAGCGGCATCGTTGTTCAAGCGCGAGGAGAGCTAGAGAACGGGGCAGAAGAAGACGCCAAAGTCCGATAAAAAAATTGGCAGATCCCACGTACTGTGGGAATCAATGATATGCGAAGCCTGAATGAGGAAGGTTGATACGCAACCTTAAAATGAGCCAGAGGTTACGAGGTGGACGTAAATTATGCCATACATGAGTTCTATTCGATGACTATCATGCTTGAAAGTGTAATTTACCATCGTCGTCTGTTCACGTCTCGTGATACCAAATTTTGTCGTATATGTGGAGCTAACGAAACAGCCAGGAGCACGCTGTGAGCATGGCATATAATCATGTTTCACGTAACGCGCATGTCATGATTATCATGTTTGGACGTGTCATTTACCTTCGTCGTCCATTCACGTCACGTGATACCAAATTTGGTATACCTGAAGCTAGCGACAGGGCCGAGAACGCATCATGAGTGTGGTTTGTTGTCATGTGCTTACATAACGCCCATGTCATGATTGTCATGTTTGCACCACTCATAGACATTCGGCATCCATTGACGTCACGTAACACCAAATTTGTATATGCGAAGCTATAGCGAAACCGCCGCGAACGTATCTTGAGCGCGGCATGTAGTCATGTTATCACATCTCACGCATCACATGATTATCATGTTTGCACCAGTCATGTACCTTCGTCATCCATTCACGTACTGTTGATTGACATGTGGGGTTGAACGTCCCAAAACCACCATATGATTATGAGAGACACCGTAGTGGAGGGGGCTCCGGAAATTTCGACCATCTGGGGTTCTTTAACGTGTACCTAAATCTGAGCACACGGTCCTACATTTCCGCCTCCATCGGAAATGCAGCAGCCGCAGCCGTGATTTGAGCACGTGACCTGTGGGTCAGCAGCCGAGTACCTTAGCCACTAGACCACCGCGGCGGAGCATTTTTCACGTACTGTAATACAAAATTTGGTATATGGGAAGCTAGTGAAACGACCGCGAGCGCATCATGGGCGGGGCGTGAGTACCTATACATTTTCGCGGTGTCCTGGACGCCCCATGTCTTAAGGTATGTCGATGCACACAAAATTCTAGCAGCTCTAAACTAACTAAAAATATATGGAGGGGGGGGGGACAAATCATCGGACAGAGGCCTGAAGAATCAAGGAAGTCTTGTTGAAAGGGCCTGAAAAATTGTGAAGGCCTGAGGCCACTTGGAAAAAAGAGGCTGCCGACTTCGGGTGCATAGTGCACTTGTTCACAATAAAGGTCTATTTTCTCTCTAACCTCAGAAGGAAGCACGCTACTTTACGAGAAATGCATAATGCCTTTGAAATGCTAAATAAGCACGAATGGCTGAATTATTCTCTGTGGTGTGGATTGACTTTGGCTAGTCAACATAATCCACCCTTTTGACATGCAATCAACTGAATAAGATCAATACTTCACAAACAATTTGGACTTCTGGGAATTCAGTAAGCTGTCTGTTACCTCCGATTCAATAAATATATCGCTATGTGAACCAGCTCAGACTGACCTCCTTGTCTTCAAATAAATCAGCTCTCTTGATTTAACTTTGTTATGCATGAATTTCACCACAACCTAATCAACCTAATTCTTTCGTGAAACCACCACTTGATTCCCAATACAAACTACTACATGCAGATGACAGCACCTTGAAGGTGCCCACAAGCACTTCAAAATACTTCCGCAAGCCCTCACTTTTGAGATAAGCAGGAAATATTGGTCATCTAAAACGCGTCAGTATGAGGTGAGGTCTTTAAAAGGGAACATCTGAAGGGACAGCGGGCACAAATGAGTACGCTTCGTGGGAATGCACTTAGCCCTTCTTGTTCTAAACTTGGCTTGTTATACGGCACTGACGCAAAAAAAAAGGTGCCCCTCACGCACGCTAAATATTTACACGCCTCTACAGATATTTTCTACGTTGCAGTGTATGAAACATTGCGGGACCAAAACGAAGCAACATGAGCTCACCTTTTTATGTAAAATTCTTCGAGCTTGCGGTAGTCCCCAGAAATGCCAATCTGGGCCATGAATTCCGTTATGTTCGGGTTAGATTTCCTGCGAAAATAAAGTTCAAAGGATCATTAAAAACAAAGGACTATTTATGTCACAGCGAAAGCTCTGTGTATGACAGAGTCTGAAACGGGAATGTTATCAGCAGCAGTGTCGTACTTTTCAAGAAAGTAAGCTAAATGTGTCACAAGGATGACCTCCGCGAACAGGACACTTGCGAAATGATCCCGATGCCTTGGGAGTGTCCGACTACAATTATTCTCTAGCAATCAAACCAGCTAAAATAAAAAAGGACTCTCCGTGCATGAAGAGACCTAATAAAATGCTGCGTGTCTATTTCTGTTTGATTTATATAAAAGAAAACCACCTGTCGTTACTATGGTTCAAAAATTTAGTTTTCGGTTGATTATGCTGGATAGATGTTGCCATCCAGCGGGACCCAGTTGACTGCATTTCCGATGGAGGCGGAATTGCTGTAGGTCCCTGTGCTCAGATTTGGGGGCACGTTAAAGAACCCCAGGTGGTTGAAATCTCCGGAGCCCTCCACTACGGCGTCTGTCATAATCATATGGTGGTTATGCGACGTTAAAACCTACATATCAATTAATCTATCATCGGGACCCAGTTGAACCAAAAAAGCAGACTCATGGCATCCGAAAATGTTGAAAACGAAAAGGTAACATAAAGACTCTAAAGGAAAAGTCAGGCGAAAAAAAACCATAACCGCCAAAGCAGTGACATCTCGAAACGTCATCATTGTCGCCAATAAAATATTTTAAAGAAGCGCTAAATATACCTATTTAAGGTGCTCAAAATCTAGCTATATAAATCATTAAAAGTGTGCTCATGTATTAGAAACAGAGGCAAATTGTATGTTGTTTACAATAAATATTTTTTTAAAAGATACAATGGCCATTTATGCAAGTTACTGCACGCGAGAAGGCGCTTTTGTAGTTTTCTTTTACTAGATGACGCCGCCATGCTTGTACCATATCGCCCCTTGAGAGCATAACCGTGCGGTGTGTGGTGGATTCCGATGCATGGGCCCTGTGGGGAGCTTATCCTTAGAGTGTGTATTTTATCTCTCTGGTTGAAAATTGTTCCATGGCCGTTGTAAATTTGGTGGCTCCCGCTACTTTCGCAATGCTCTTAATGGTGTCGGCGACCGCGTAATAAAGGCTGAACAACGTTGGATACCGAAAGCTGATTTGCCCAATTAACAACGTTGGATACGGAAAACATATTTGCCCAATGACCTTCCCCATTAACGACGCGCTCTTCAGAACCCATCCAGTATCGCTTGCCTTCGACATCTTGGCGTTTAAAAATACGCCGCCTACTTTCGCCCTTGTTTTTAACTGCTTCCTTGTTGTATGTATCATTCATAGGTTTTCGGGAACTGGCGTACACCGCTATTGTCGGCAACCCATTCTGGTAGCCGGACGCGGTGACCATCTGCCGACTCCGAAGGTTCAAGCTATTTCACTTGTTCGTGTTTGAAGCGGCCGCCACTTTTGCTGCGCACTGCTCCAACTTTGCGCTTTTCTTTTTTTCATTTTTCCCCACTCTCAGAGAACATTTTTTGAATCACTACCACCTAACTTGAAGCGAAGCAAGGACTGCATTCTTTTCTTTATAGTATTTTGCTTTTCAGACAGTGATCATCAACAGGAACACGCGCCACCACCATGATATGACGTCACCAACAACCCCTTAAAAACTAACATGCCGAGGATGACACGGCACCGTTAAAAAAGATAGATCCTCCTATCGAAACGTCGTCCAGCCAATCTGAGGCACTTCACCTGTTCATCTTATGATTATCCCACTAAAATATCTGAGTTGAAATATTATCTTCTATTTGGTGTTTTTTCCTCTCATTTATAGTTAAAAAAATAACTACTGCCATACTGCGACCTCCTGTGGATAGTGCGTCCTCTAGTACTTTTCCTACAGAAGGGCTGATTATGGTTTAGCAAGCATTATATACAAACCTAGACACGAGCTTCAGAATGAAGTACAGGATAATTTCTAACAAACTTAAACTGTCTATATTGTGAAGTTATCTTCAATGGGTACCCTAGAATTGAGTTTTCTTGTATGATATATTTATAACAGGAGTGTCCACTACCAAGGGCCTCAGCAGAAGTCAGCTGTACCACTACCTTCATCATTAAAGCCAGTTTGGCCCTGCGCTGGTTTTCTTTCCTTACCAGATCATCTCTGCGCTATGTCTTCAATAAGCATGCAGCAAAGTATTGTGGGTATTTCAGATGTGCAGTGCGAAAATTGCATTCGAGAATGCAGATTATTAGCATTTTTGTTACTGGGCAACACATAGATTGGCATAGCACATGCACCTTTCTGAGACGTTTGATAGACAAGACACCTGCCCAACACAATTGATATATTGCGTTGTATTCAGTCACTCAGTACTTACCAGCAATCGAAGCTAACTTCGTCTCCTCCGAGATGAATGTACTGGTCGGGAAACACTCCTGCCACCTCAGAAAACAGCGCCTTGAGGAAATCGTAAGTAGCATTCGTACTAGGATCAATCGGTCCAAGTTTACCACTGGGTTTCGTTCCCTTGTAGCACGTCGTCAGGAGATTAGGAAAGGCCTCGCCCCACGACCGAGTGTGTCCTGCATTGAGGACAAATCTCTGATTCGTTTGCGCATATTTTCGTGAACACCTGCTCTTATGCTTAAATTAGTTCTCAATATCTCGCTTCGAAAATGCAGTATAACCTGTTGACTTAGTTTGGGCTTAAACTAGGCCCTTTATTGGGACCGACAACCAATTTTTCCGCACCCAATTTTTCTAAGGGCCAAATAGAAATCTCATTTTTCGCAGTGTTTATAGCTACAGCGGTTAACCCTTTGGGCCGTGAATATTTTATTTTGATCAGATATTTTTTGTGCATCATTCTTTTAGATGGCTGCAAACGAAGAATTTAGCCAGTTACGCAAACACTTATGGGTTAATAAACATGGCGTCAATTAGGTCATAAGGGCTGATTGATTGTGAAATGAAAACATTAACTTCTTCTATTATCACTATTCTACACTATTATTACGCAAAATTTCCACCAATATCTTATTAGTCATTGACACAGCTTCAGTACATTGTCCTGAAAATGGGGCTTAGCCACCTTTTAGCTTACACTCCTCTGCTTCACCCAAGTGTTTTATCAAGTGTCTTCTTTTGTGGCCCCCAACTCCAAAAACATACAAGAGTTTAGTTTCAATTGCAGTGCCGATAATTTAGGAACCATGCGCACCAAGAATAAGCAGTTTTGGTTTGGTTTTTGAGGTCGTAGAAGCAATCTTCACTAGGGGTTGTAAATTAAACCACCAGGCCCGCAAGGCTTATACCAAAATCGCGTGGTTATAATATTAGCACTACTTTGTAGTCGGAAAAGCACATAAATGCTGTAATGCTGTGAAACGATACCAATACTCCACATGGCATTATGTTTAAAGGGGCTGACAACTGATTTTTCGGACAGTTTTTTCCAGCACCACAGAAAGATTACAGTTTACAGCGTTCGTAGCTGCCGTAGTTAAGCCCAAAAGCACGTAATCATCTTATAAGCAGTATTTTTTTTTATTTGAAAGGCTCTGAACATGGGCGAGCCCTTTCAACCGGCAACGTTGAGAGTTGATAGCGATGCCGGTAGCCTCTCTGGTGACTTGTGCGTGCCGCATTGTTCTGCTTTCAAAAATGTTCCAGTAACTATTCTTAACCACATTTATTCTGAGCTGTACAACTATTTTTGAAAATAAGCCGTTGCAGTGAGACGATGTGGTTTTCTACAGCTTCTCTGTATTCCTACCGCGTTGTGTGCGCCTGTGCCCAAGGTTGTTGCGCCTGTGTTGTGGATGGCTTGCATGCCCTTGTCGTTACTCTCTCTACACACAAGCCAAGTCAAGTCGCCGAAAACATCACTGAGCATATGCGCGGCTGTGCCGAATGCGCAGTACGTCATTTCTTAGACAAATAGTACATAAAAAGCAGGTGGCTTTTAAATCTTAGCAACGTACCCAGAAACTGCGCGCACGCTTTTATGAGCACGCAGATAAAGTTGTTCGTGACGCGCTGCTGAGCATGGGCAGATTACGTCATGCGAAGGCAGCGCCACTTTATTGCGTAGAGTTAACGCAAGTTAATAGGTACACTTTTAGGCCGTAATATCTCTTATTTCTCAAAAAAAAGAAAACAATATTTAAATACTAACAGAGAAAATGCTGACCACGTACACTAGTCTAGGGTCGCATGACGGGGCACAAAATATAATTAAAGTTTCTGCCACCGGGTAGCACCACAGACTCTTTTCACAATTTTTCAACAACTAATGACATTATAAGTTCACCTTTCACGAGAAAAACAGAGTTAGTTAGAGTTACTATGAGGGACAATCTTTCTATCCCTGCTTTAATCTAATTTCGTGTACTGGGCTGTTCTCGGTCCCTTTAAGGTTTTGCTTTCACAGAGATTAGGTTAAACTGTGCTTAACTACCTTCACATTGATGTTTTAGACCATTATGGAACATTAAAAACTGGTAAAATAAGTTTTCTGAACGCTCGTAGGCGCGTCAGATATCGTTAGCATCTCTGGAGCTAGGTGCTCTAGGCATCCGCAAATAGTTCCGGCGATAGGTCGCCAGACCTAACTTCGAAGGACTGAACGCTGGGCGAGTTGGTAAAGCATAATTACAAAAACTGCGTGAAAAAGAGACAGAAACACTGAAGGTACACTTGTGAGTGTCCCTTTGGTCTTTTTGTCTTTTTTTCGAGCAGTTTTTGTAATTGGCTAAGTTCAGGGCCACATGGCGCTCTTCTTACTTCTGCCAAGACCAATGTTCCGTTGCGTGCAAATGAATTCGTATCACCATGCTTAACGTTACAAAAGATCCTACTAAAAAGTGGGCTGAATGTAATGCTACCAGAAGAAAAATATTAGTGTACACCAGTAAAACGTTGCATGGTAGGTACATACACACATACAACTGTTTTGCTGTCAGAGGCACTAAAAGTAATATTGAATGATGAAATGAAAATGTGAATCCCTGTTTAGTGAGAAAAAGGGGGCTCGTTGTAAAAACTATGCAGACAGTTCTTTCATGGGCGGAATAAGTTCAGCTTGTTTTCAGAGGGTTCCGCCGTTCCTTTAACATGAGAATGACTCAACGCTATATTCTCGGCCTTTACTTTTCACATGTTCATTATGCGCTCTGTGTTTTAAACCAATTTATGAATCTTCATACGCTTCGAAAAACCTGGCCTATCAAGGTTTGAGTGAGTGCTGTTCTACTTTCCACAAATATTTTACAAAGAAATCTCAAAATTTTCACATAAGGAAAGATACACTACCAATTACGAACAACACATTTGTTAAAACAATAATATATTTCTTCACTGCCATGTTAAAACGGAGAGCTCACGTATTGCACAATCATAGCAATGCTGCGTACTTTCAATTTACCCGCCAAGACTCAAATAACAATTTTAGAAACAGCAAACTTAGAGTAGCAATTGACATGTCGGCTTTTGCGCATGCTTTCTGCCGCATATGTTACATAAATTCATCCAGCTTTTTTTATACTCCTAAAAATGTGTCCTTTAATGCTTTATGCAGGGCGATTGTGACGAAAATGTCACCGCTTCACGAGAAGAGCACCACACTTATTGTGGTAGCAATAAAGTGTGTTGTCAAATGAAGTGAGGCTGGCAGGTAACTTTTTTGCATTCAATATCGAGCGATTATACAAAACAGCGGTGTAAGGAAATACGGCCGCTTTCTTGCGAGATGCTCTTTCCACACAGTCCCTTCGCGTTGAAAGCTGAGCACGTAGAAGGGTATACATGAGCCGCCGGCTGTCAGCAGTCAAGACAGATAGCACGCGTACCAACAACCGCAACCGCGCCCTTAGAATAAAACATCAAAGTTACTGCTTCAGCAACTTCTCCCCTCCTCCAGACTTCTCACATCTTTTCAAGCACGTTCAATACAGATCAGGCATTTCCGATGCTATGGTGGCAGACCTCCCAAGCGGGATGAGGTTTTTGCATGCTCCGTTCAAGCAATGGTGATGAACCGGTTTGTTTGTTGCCTGCTTCAGCGACGTTTGTTACTTTCGTTCACGCACTTTTTACTGGGGTAGAACATACAATGCGCGGGACGATGTTACCAATTTGGACTTTCTACGAAACATGGCCGTGATGGTGATAGCAATGGCAACGGCAAAAAACCATCGAGAGTGTTCATGTAAATTGTTATTGCACTAAAAGATAAGAAATCTTATGCATACAACCACCGAAAAGTTAGAAGACATCCATGTCTATGCATGGCAGATCATGACGTTAAACGAAGGCTGTGCAGAACTTGTTTGCAGCTTGTGTGACAAAGCTGCATGATGTTTTGGCCAGTTTCTCAAAAGAACGATTTAATTGCTCACTTGTATTCTTACAAGCCCTTCCAATCCGCGAGGCAGAATATGATAGATGTGACTCCTTCTCTATTTTCAATTGTCTGGTTGCATATTTGCAGCGGAAAGTAAGAACAAAAAGAACAAACGAAAATATGAAGCCATACTTGAACAGTGAAGAGAGTAAGCAAGTCAAGGGCCAATTCATCATTCAATGTTTCATGCAAGAACCAATCAAGGTGATTTTAAATCTCAATAATACGTAAGAAACGAAAACGCAAAAGTGTATATCGATTGATGAATCCATTGGGTTCGGAAACGGCTTTTTCGGTGCACCCCACCCCCTCCCCCCGAAAAAAAGAACGCCAGGCCTCCGCAAAACGCGCAACACAGTCACCGCGAAAGATAGAAGAGCGGATTTTCAGAGCCTTTCCTAAACTCTCTTTCTGTAACTGCTTCTAGCACACTTTACGTGTACCCACTATGCCATAAGTAATAATCCTTTTTGTGTAGTAGGCCAGCTTTCACTACGCTATTCTTTGTCATTCTTTGGAGAATCATGGTATCTCCTACACACTTGGTAGGATTTCTTGTGCAATTTTTAAGCAGTGGCTGACCACGATAAAGAATTATAGCTGAAGCGGGTATGTGCCACAGTTAATAGGGGATCAAGAACAAGCTTTTGTAATGGGCTGCAGCATTGGACGACCCACTCGTTACGCAATACGCATTGTGTGATGCCTCGTTGTTCCTTTGACGTTCTAAAACGTCTTATTGCTCGTATTAAGGTGGTTCTTTTCCTGACACCAAGTCTGCCTAAGGCCAGTTTAGGAGCTATTTTCAAGCGCAGGCAATGCTCAGTGAGAGAACACTGGGCTGGCACGCCACAGACCCGGGATCGAATTCTATTGTGGCCTCGGTATTTGTGTTCACTTAGTTCTTTTTTTTTTCACCTATTCCTTGCGATACTGGTTACGGACACTGGAGGTGGCGGTGGCGGCGGCAGTGGCTGAAAACTACGGCGCTGCACGTGACCCATGTTCTGATCTCATAGCAGCTATCACTGTAGAAAATAACGTAGCCTGAAAACAATAAATGCAATAATGAAGGCTTTTTCAGACTTTTATGCAGCAGAACAACACTGTCACAATGCGCTCTGATAGAATATTGTGCTTTCTGATAGAATCTTACGTTGCCGAACAATGATTTCGCAAGAACATCGGTGCGCCACGATTTAAGCAGTACGTTGTCAGCATATTGTGGCGGTTAAAATGGCGACCATCACGCTTCTATGTTAATTAACCAGATGAGTACTCTTGAGTAGCGTGAGGCACGTCTATATCTTCAATATGAGATGGCAACCACACAACCCATCGGTACTATACAACTAATTCGTTGTTTGTGGTCTGTGTATTGTTGTACTCTCTAGGTTAATCTTCACAGCTTCACTGAAGGAAGCCGAAGCTTCTCGACGCTTTATTGGTTACACGTTGAATGTAAGCATGCTATGTTTCGTTACAAAAGAAAGCGAGAGTAAGCCTTTTGAACGAAAGAACACATGGAAACTCGTGTGCTGGGTTTCAATATTTACACTTTGATGTTTCTCACTTTTTCAAGTACCAGTGGAACTGCATGCTTTCTAAATTCGAATAGGCGTTCGCACCGCACTGCTTCATTCGAAAAAGTCAACAAAACATCATTCAAATACAAGCGAAACCAGCAAAAACACCCGCACATCTGCCCGAAGTCATATTTATTAGGAGCATAATTATTTCAACAAAATTACGTAAAATTGATGACGAAAGTAGCTGACGCAAAAAAAAAACTTTTTCACAGTATTCGTAATATCTTAATTCCTAAGTGACTTGGAGTGCAAACACAGACGCAAGAGAAAAGCGGAAACAACACAAGTGCTAACGTTTGCGGCTCTTGTCTTCTCGTTTATGTCCGTGTTTGCACGCCTTCTTTAACCATGAATATGTATAGTCCACAGTTTGGTCAACAGTTTCCAGAACATGCGTCTTTAGAAATACATGGGATAGTGGCTTGGGAAATTTCGACCTTCTCCCTGTGCGTCTGTTCTTCTAAAGATGTGACATTGATGTGAAATGAGTGAACGTGGGTAGATATGCCACACTGGTTCCTAGAATTTAAGTAGTGCTAGCACAAAGCCAAGTATTTCAAGGACACCAAATATTTTATTTGCTTACGTATATTGAGCTCTTTCATGTAAAACTCTTGTGCTCTCTGCTGCCATGTTATACCCGCGAACTTTAACGTGGTCGCAGAAATCACAAAAACAGGTTGATTGGTGGATCATGGGAGAGGTCTTTACCCTGCTACTTAAGACTGCAGAAAAAAAATTGCCCGCAGCTTCCCTCGGGGGAACACTGAGGAGGATGCGGAGCATATAATTGGTTAACAGGGTGTTAAAGTGCGACTTACTTGGGTCGATGGCTAAATTGGTTAACGTGGTTGTGAAATGGGGTGTTAAATTGCGACTTACTTGGGTCGATGGCTAAATTGGTTAACGTGGTTGTAGGAGGGGGTGTTAAATGAGTGAACACGTACACACGTATGCGAAAGGGCGGCGCTGGTCGAAGGGACGTCGATCATTGTGTTTGTGGATTCGTTGGAATTCATTTCACCGCGACCTTGGACGTCGACGCGCCGTACAAACCAACCGACGAGCGGCAACTGAGCGAGCGAGCGAGCGCCGACCTTGAGTATATATACAGCGCGACGGCGCATGCACTGTCAGCTGTCCGAATGTTCGAGAAGGGGGAGAAGCGCAACGGCGCATGCGCGCGCGTCAGCTGCCGATGTTCTCGAAGCGCGACGGCGCATGCGCGCGCGTCAGCTGCCGATGTTCTCGAAGCGTGACGGCGCATGCACGCTACATTATACAGCTAGCGAATGTTCGTGAAGAGGAGAAGCGCACTCGGTGTGTAGAGGAGGAAGGGTGCACAGATGGTGGAGAGTGAAGCGCGCGCGGTGTGTAGAGGAGAAAGGGATGCACAGATGGTGGAAAAAGGAGGAGGAAGCTTGCGGACGGCGCCGCACTACAAGCCTCGAGTATTAGATGCTCCGCATCTAAAAGTATAACTGCAATCGACAAAGATGACATATGCCGTGCGCTGATGTTACGTGTGAACGCGAAGTTGTACAAGGACACTCTTTTGGTTTTGGTGTTGTTGTAATACCAGAACAGAAACCGCTCTTGAGTAAGCAAAAATGTAGGAAGTTTAGTAATTTCTTCATAAGCAGCTCTTACCAGGCGTGTCAAATTCGGCCATGACGCGAATGCCTCTCGCAGCAGCTTCTCTGATTACATACTGCACATCTTCTGGCGCGTACACGCGAATTTCCGGATCATAGGCACCCTGCAGAAAAATTGTCGTTGGCAACATTGTAAATGATACAAAAAGTTTTCAACTGCAGGCTATTTAATATTCTAAACTGTCCCTCTAAGCCTGATTTTTTAGTTCGTCCTACTAGGCACTATGTTTAAAGCACCGAATAGACTGCAATTACGAACTTTCGCAAGAGCTTTGTGCTTGTTTACTCCGATTTAGGCACAAAGAACACCCGCAAAATCTATTTATGAAGAATGCTTCGCCTTTATATAGAGTCCTTTATCTCCTGGATTCACATACATTGACAGCTAAGATTCCATCAAATCAGAGCTATATCATGACTATCACACAGATAATAGAGAGTTTTAGTACTGTGGAATGGTGCTACGTACGCATCACGCAAGCGCCTTGCGTTACGTGGCGTCTTTTGCCACTAATCGGCTTTTAGTACGCCGTAGTACCCGCGTACATAACGAGCGTGAAGCGTGTTGTGCCATCTGGTAGATCAAAATAGAAGCACGTGTTGTTGGCAGCCAATGTGAGCCAATCCAAGTGTTATAGCCAGATTATGGCCATATTATAAGCCACAGAGCCGGTCGGTGCTTGCCCTCGATGCCGCCATTTTGCAAAACGAAGTCTCGCGCTGTCGCAAAGTTGTTCGAGAGCGGCGCGATCACCTCATACGTACGCACGCACGCATCTCATGCGTGCGTACGTAGCGGCTGCGTACGTAACGCGATACGTGCGCGTTGCGGTCTGCGCATGCGCACTACGCAGAACGTGGCGTCCTTACGTACGCAACGTCGCCACATACGCAGCGTACGCAGTACTAAAACTCTCTAATATCTTACGGCTCGTAGGGGCGAAGCTCCTTAAGCCGTGGGTCGTATGTCGCATGTCGTCCTAGTATCCAACTTTCGTTTACTCCTTAGAATGTCCGCTGGGTGGCGGTACTTGTATATGATGAATATATGATGAAAAGATGCGAGATAGCGGTACTTTGGAGCGTTCACTAGATGGACGTATGGATGGACGGACAGATGATCGCATGGACGCTTCGCCCCATTCATCATCATTTTATTCGTGAATATGCTGTGAGTTTTTTTATTCTACTTTGTGATTATATCAAGCCAACTGAAACACCAGGGGATATTCCTCTATAAGCTTTGGTAGAAAAAAGACCGTACTGTTGGACAAGAAATGACGAACATTCCACTGGATCGCATATTACAAATATTCTCCTAGCATTTGCAGTGTTCAGTGGCGTATCTTCCTGTACTTTTCTCTGACCATCGCAGACTTACTTGTTGGGTGAGTTAGTTCATTCTTAACCAAGCTTTTGATGCGAAATAAACATGAATTGCACTTGTCCATCTCTCGTGTTTATTGGGCGCCAAAAGCTACGTTAAGAATGACCATCGCTTTGCGATCCCAAAAGATTTATATTACCTGGCTGAAAAAGTAATCTTTTGTTCACCTAACTTTGAAAGCTAGGAGCACTCTATTTATCCACAACTGCAGCCCAGATACGGCCAGCAATCTAAACATTGATCATCTTCAGTCGCGAAGCGATATTTGCGGTCTGTCATATCAGTTCACAGGAATATAAACGCATGCCCTTTGTTTTATTTCCTCGTGTTCAGGAATGCCGCACTTAAGATGCATCAGACAAAGAGCATCACGTACTTTCACTGCGTACCAAAAAGAAAATAAAAAGCTGATGTGTTGTAAAATTCCTGATAGCATCGAGTTCTGTAATTGTGGCCCAGAAAAGATTTATCTGTAGTACATTCGAAAATCTCCCGCGTTGGTCAATCAATTTGTACCCTCTGAACTTAATTGAGTCGAACTTAACAGTAGTAATATTGCTTCGGTGTTTTCAACATTATCAGTCTGTCTTCCTCAATATCTACGATCAAAAAGTCTATATAAGAACTCTGCCATTGTTCTACCAATTTGGTAGTCGTATTGTTACATTGCACACGCAGCACCCATTATTCAGCTGCAACATTCAACAGAGCTTACGTGCTGCAGCGTGCCAAAATATAGCACCTAATTTGATGGCACCTCTTCTGCAAATGCCTTAGAAATACAGAGCATGCGTCCATGTGTTTCACGCATTGATTTGTGTGTGGTGAAAATCGAGTCTCTAGGATAATCTGAGACCTTGTAAGATATCACTCGAGCGATACGCTTGTATAAAAAAATGCTTACAGCACGTACAACACCATCAATACGTATATGTTGTCAACGTTAGCAAAAGGTGGCAATGTAAAAAAATGGCACATCCCACGTACAATGGGCATCGATGCTATGCGAAGCATAGCATCGATGCACGAAAGAAGCACGAAATTGATGCACGAAAGAAGCACGAAAGAAGCACGAAAGAGTAATGTTGATTTAACACTTTACCATCAGCATAACGTTACGAGGTGGACGTAAATTGTGTTGTACATGACTTCCGTGTCATGATTATTATATTTGGGTGTGTCATTTAGCTTCATCGTTTATTCATATCACTTGATACCAAATATGGTTTAGGTGGAGCTCATGCTATGCTCATAGCACGGCCGCAACCGCGCTATGAGCATAACATGTAGACATGTTTTACATGACACGCTTGTCATGATTATTATGTTTATACGTGTCTTTTACCTTCGTCGTTTGTTCCCGTCACGTGATACCAAATTTAGTATATGTGGAGTAGTCGAAACGACCGCGAGCGGGCAATGAGCATGGCATGTAGTCGTGTTTTACATGACACGCATGTCGTGCTCCTCATGTTTGCACGAGTCATATACATTCGCAGTCTGTTCACGTCACGTGATACCAAACTTTCTATGTGTGGAGCTAGTGAAACGGCCGCGAGTGGGATGCGAGCGTAGCATGTAGTCATGCATTGCATGACACGCATGTCATGATTATCATGCTTGCACGCGTCATTCGCCGTCGTCGTCCGTTCGCGTCATGTGATACCAAGTTTGGTACATGTGAAGCTTTTGAAACGACCGTGAGCGCATCATGAGCATGGTATGTAGTCACGTTCTTACATGGAACGCCTGTGATGATTATCGTGTTTGCACCAGTCATATATCTTCGTCATCCAGTCACGTCAAGTAATACCAAATCTGGTACTTGTGAAGCTAGCAAAACGACTGTGAGTGCACCATGAGTGTATGGCTTGTAATCATGGCCTACATGACATGCATATCATGATTTCCACGTTAGAGTCTGTCAGTTATGTTCCACATGCAGTCATGTCACGCCATACCAGTTTTGTAATGTGTCATGTGAATAAAAGTCCGCTAGAGTGGGAAGACCAGGAAATGTAAATGTAGACATTCGTGACATACGTGCCATAATTTTCATGTTATGACTAGTCGCACATGCTCACCATGCAGGCATGTTATGCCACACCAATTTTGGTATCGATACAATTATCAAAACAACAGGGAGAGCTGAGTGTCGTAGGTGGCTAGATGATGGATTGATAGATACACTCAAAAACTCCGAAGTTCGCTGAGAAATGCTTCGCATTTAAAACAAGAAATGTTCGTTAGGAGTCTTTATGATTGCGTTTCACCCTTCGAGAGTTAAGGAGGAACGAAACCGATAACGATGAGGAATTCAAAATCATATAACTATCCTCACCTTTTGTTTGTGGTGGTGAACGCTTCTGGTTTTTGTGCACCTGTCCTAAGTCTGCCTACTGGTATCTTGAGTTTCAGTTCTCGCCTTTTCAGGTCAATTCATAGATTACAGAAGCTGGTGCGATATGTGTAGCGTACTCCATATTCACAATGCTGGTACGTGTCTAATATAAAAGCAACGGCCGCCCCACGCGATCTCACCTTTTCGCTCATGCTGGGGAACTTCTTGCTCACGTAGGGAAAAGACTCATCGTCCACGATGTGCCAGTGGAGAACATTCATTTTGTTGTACGACATTGCGTCCTGGAAGTGAATGAATGACTGTTATTGATCTGTGACTATAATCAGCGCTTGCACCAACAGGGAACTGATTACGGCATTAGAGCGCTGAGCTGGAGGTACATGGCTCAACATCCGCAACAGCAGCCACATTTTGATACTTTAATAATTAACTGCTGGTGTGCGTTATCTAGGTGCATGCACAATAACCTTCAGACAGTTTAAGTGATTCAGTAGCTTCTTACGGTGATCTTCCTCATATTTAGGGTCAAATAAGGCCAAAGTTTGAAAAAAAGAGGAAGACTTGATGTGATGAAAAATAGTTCAACAGACTATTTGTCGTGAAGGCAGGTGAAAGCTGTGAGAAGAACAGCACAACTTTGACGTAAGAAGCATTCCGAATCTGTGTTACAATATTTCTTATAAATTGTAAAGACTTCGTGGCTTTTACACGTTACGTATTGCCTAACACTTTTTTTTAAAATAAGATTGGTTGTTCTTTTCTGCAGGGTAGAACGGAGCAAATATGTTCGGTGAAGTTTTATTGCGATAGTAATTATATGACACTTTCGGCTGGATTCGCCGCCAGCGTTGAAGTCGGCGTCGATTCCATACACCGTATATGCATAGGTATCGATATATATGAAAACGCAAGGAAAAAAAAATCCCAGAAAAGACTCCCGCACGCGGAATCGATCATGGGACCTTCGCGTCACGAATGCGAGGCGTTAACCACTTAGCCCCCGAGAAGTATTTCCTTCAACGTTCAAACGCCAAGCTATTCATATATACCAATATTCAACTTTCCCACCATCGAAGTCAGGAAAAATTCGGCGGAAAAAAGAAGAAATAAAGTAGCTGGAAGCAAAACTAATACGTCACACATCGTGTTTTTTCTGGAATAACTGTGACTCGTTCATCTAAATATCAAAACTAAATCTGCACATGAAAATAAGAAGTACCGTCAACCAAGTACGTCATAGACATGAATAAATAAACGTGAGCAAATGTTTACCACCCTTTGTTTCTATAGCTTAAATCCTGACTAAGCTGTAACGAGATTTCCCCATGGCACAATCTTCTGCAGCTATGGCTATGCATATACTAGCTCATTGCCAAAGACTAGGTGACTTTATGCTTGCTGCAGGGTTGAGTATCTAATTACAAATTCGTTGTGTAGGCGATACACTGGTATGCCTCTTTCTGCTGAACAACGTCGCCATGCACCTAACTTATTGCGTATATCTTACTCGTTTACGGGGCACTGTATGAAATATTCAATACTGTATGCCATTGAGTTCCAAAAAGTGAAATACAAACGAAAACATTGGGAGCATAAACATAGAAAGTGTTTCCCGTACGTTCGTTGAACAGCTATGACTTGTCGCATTGGTACAATTGTCATAAACAACACAGATAAGCAGCCATAGCGACTAATATGCTGACATCAAACCCGTAATAATACATAATATGTGAACATTCCGCTTACCAGTAATCATCACAGAAAAGCCGATAAAAGTGCAAGTTCTTGTTATTGGTAACACAACAAGCGTTCTATTTCGGCTCTCTTCTGGTTCCACTGTGGCATTTTGACGATTACATTCATGTATACTTTAGTCAAGCTGGCCAGGCACGCGTACGTGCATTTGTATATGAATTTCCAACCAAGCGATATATATATATATATATATATATATATATATATATATATATATATATATATATATATATATATATATATATATCATCATCATCAGCCTGACTACGTCCACTGCAGGACATAGGCCTCTCCCATGTTCCGCCAGTTAACCCGGTCCTGTGCTTGCTGCTGCCAAGTTATACCCGCGAACTTCTTAATCTCATCTGCCCACCTAACCTTCTGTCTCCCTCTAACCCGCTTCCCTTCTCTGGGAATCCAGTCAGTTACCTTTAATGACCAGCGGTTATCCTGTCTACGCGCTACATGCCCTGCCCATGTCCATTTCTTCTTTTTGATTTCAGCTATGATATCCTTAACCCCCGTTTGTTCCCTAATCCACTCTGCTCTCTTCTTGTCTCTTAAGGTTACACCTACCATTTTTCTTTCCATAGCTCGCTGCGTCGTCCTCAATTTAAGCTGAACCCTCTTTGTAAGTCTTCAGGTTTCTGCTCCGTAGCTAAGTACTGGCAAGATACAGCTGTTATATACCTTCCTCTTGAGGGATAGTGGCAATCTACCTGTCATAATTTGAGAAAGCTTGCCGAATGTGCTCACCCCATTCTTATTCTTCTAGTTACTTCAATCTCGTGGTTCGGCTCTGCGGTTATTACCTGCCCTAAGTAGACATAGTCTTTTACAACTTCAAGTGCACTATTACCTATCTCGAAGCGCTGCTCCTTGCCGAGGTTGTTGTACATTACTTTCGTTTTCTGCAGATTAATTTTAAGACCCACCTTTCTGCTCTCCTTGTCTAACTCCGTAATCATGAGTTGCAATTCGTCCCCCGAGTTACTCAGCAATGCAATGTCATCGGCGAAGCGCAGGTTACTAAGGTATTCTTCATTGACACTTATCCATAACTGTTCCCATTTTAGGCTTCTGAAAACCTCCTGTAAGCACGCGGTAAATAGCATCGGGGAATTTGTGTCCCCCCGCCTTACACCCTTCTTGATTGGTATTCTGTTGCTTTCTTTATGAAGCACTATGGTAGCAGTTGATACCCTGTAGATTTCTTCAAGAATGTTTATATATACTTCATCTAAGCCCTGATTCCGCAGTGTTTGCATGACGGCTGATATTTCTACTGAATGAAATGCCTTCTCGTAATCTATGAAGGCTATGTATAGTGGTTGGTTAAACTCTGAGCATTTTTCTATTACCTGATTGATAGTATGAATGTGGTCTATTGTTGAGTAGCCTGTTCGAAATCCTGCTTGTTCCTTTGGTTGATTGAATTCTAATGTTTTCGTTACTCTGTTAGCAATTACCTTTGTAAATAGCTTGTATACTACAGAGTGCAAGCTGATCGGCCTGTAATTCTTCAAGTCCTTGTCCACAATTGTAGAAATTTCTTCAACGGATGCGTTCTTTTCTGCAATAAAAATGATTGAATCTTTGGACCGCTAAGCCCTGTAGACTACGTGTGTGCGCCTGGCAGTCGCCATGATCTGTACGGTATCTTGGTTGTAAGCTATGTTGTTTTGTTTTGGTGTTAATTTGCCCTTGTGCTAGACGAATGCTGCACTTTGTTTTAATTATCATGAGATTTTCATCAATGACTTTTCTGACGCATCTGTGCTCGGTGCAACTGTGTATGTTTTTGTATTTTGGAAATCTACTTCTTTTCTCTTTTTTACTTATGTGAATGCAATTATGTGAACTTATGTGAACCTGCAATTTTCATGTTCTTTTCTGTACCCCCCCCCCCCCACTATAATGCCTGTATGGGCGCTGTGGGTACTAATTAAATAAATAAATAAATAAATAAATCTCCTTTCTTATGCATTAAGATGATGTTAGCGTTCTTCCAAGACTCTGGTACTATTCCCATCAGGAGACACCTCGTAAACAGGGTGGCTAGTTTTTCTAACACAATCTGTCCTCCATCTTTCAGCAGATATGATGTTACCTGATCCTCACCAGCAGCTTTGCCCCTTTGCATGCTCTCCAAAGCTTTTCTGACTTCTTCTATCATTACTGGAGGGGTGTAATCTGGGTTACTGCTAGTTCTTATAGTATTAAGGTCGTGGTTGTCTCGGCTACTGTACAGATCTCTGTAAAACTCCTCCGCTATTTTAACTATCCTATCCATATTGGTAGTTATTTTGCCTTGTTTGAACCTTAGTGCATACATCCGACTTTTGCCTATCCCAAGTTTCCTCTTCAATGCTTTGACACTTCCTCCGTTTTTCAGAGCGTGTTCAATTCTCTTTATGTTATACCTTCTTACATCGCATACCTTACGTCTATTAATCAACTTCGAAAGCTCTGCCAGTTCTATTTTGTCTGTTGTACTTGACACTTTCATGACTTGACGCTTCTTAATTAGGTTTTTCGTTTCCTGGGAAAGCTTGCCAGTGTCCTGTCTAACTACCCTGCCTCCAACTTCCACTGCACACTTCGTAATGATACTCGTCAGATTATCATTCATTGTATTTTCGCTAAGGTTGGTTTCCGCACTAAGAGCCGAGTACCTGTTCTGCAGCGACACTCTGAGTTCTTGTACTTTCCCTCTCAGTGCTAGCTCATTGATTGGCTTCTTGCTTATCAGTTTCTGTCGTTCCTTCTTCAAGTCTAGGCGAATTTGAGACCGTACTATTCTATGGTCACTGCATCGTACCTTGCCAATCACTTCCGCATCCTGCACGATTCCAGGGTGTGCACTCATTATAAAGTCTATTTCGTTCTTATTTTCGCCATTAGGGCTCCTTCATGTACACTTGCGGTTTTCTCGTTTTCGGTAGAAGGTATTCAAAATCCGTAAATTATTGCGTTCTGCGAATTCTACTAGTAGCTCTCCTCTGGCGTTTCTAGTACCGATGCCATAATCTCCAACTGCCTGGTCTCCAGCCTGCTTCTTCCCTACTTTTGCATTAAAGTCGCCCATCACTATAGTATACTGTGTTTTTACCTTACTCATTGCCGATTCCACGTCTTCATAGAAGCTTTCAACTGAAGCGTCATCATGGCTGGATGTAGGCGCGTAAGCCTGTACTACCTTCATCTTGTATCTTTCATTCAGTTTAATTGCGATACCTACCACCCTTTCATTAATGCTATAATATTCCTCTATGTTGCCAGCTATGTTTCTGTGAATTAGGAACCCCACTCCCAGCTCTCTTCTGTCTGCCAAGCCCCTGTAGCAAAGGACGTGCCCATTCTGTAGCACCGTATAGGCCTCATCTGTCCTCCTAACCTCGCTGAGCCCTATTATATCCCATGTAAAACCCTCTAGCTCCTTGAATAGTACAGCTAGACTTCCCTCACTAGATAAGGTTCTACCGTTAAACGTTGCCAAGTTCAGGTTCCAATGGCGGCCTGTCCGGATCCAGAGATTCTTAGCACCCTCTGCTGCGTTGCAGATCTGACCGCCGCCGTGGTCAGTTGCTTCGCAGCTGCTGGGGACTGAGGGCCGTGAGTTATTTGACGTAAGCATGTGACGTAAGCATATATATATATATATATATATATATATATATATATATATATATATATATATATATATATATATATATCTTTCGATCTCTCAGACGGCCTGCACGAGTGGTGGGACGTGGCACGTTTATACTGTTGAATAGCAGGGAAGAGAGCCCGCTTTCCGGCATGCTATAAACTTTTTGAGTAGTTAGAATAAACTATACTACATCACTGTTGTAACAATATAGTTTGAGGGCAGTCGTACTTGCACAATTAGAAGAAGAAACATTAGCACTTGTTTAAGAATAGCCGAGATAGTGACTTGTACAACCCACAAAGGAGAACGACTCAACCTGTGTGCGTCCTTATTAGAATAACAAGTGCGGCCAGTGGGTACTGGAGGTCGAATCTAGTGCAACCCGCATTTTAGGTACACGCTCTAAACCCTCGACCACCGCTTCTGTGTTAAACGAGAGCATGGGCGGCAGATGTGTTTTCCTCTGAGTGCTATTTTTTCTTCCCTGCCTCTTTTTCATGATGACTAGTTTACGAAAAGAAATAGATATGAGAAAGAAGACGCGTTCGAATGATTCTGCTCTAAAAAACTGGGATGGAGGGATAGATGTCCGCTTTATAAATCGTTTCTGCCGGGGCCATGTAAAGTTTTCTGTGCAAGCGCTAACTACACTAGTTTAAAGACAGTCAAATACGGATATTTCAGAGTACAAAGACTCCTACTGAAGCAATATTTTCAAAATAGACGTAAATAATTCTGTAACAATACTTTGTTTGTGCTAACAGCGTCTTTCGAAAGCCGAGCTCTTAGATAATCGAACTATTAAACCTCTCACTTGCCCAAATGGCATTGGACAAGTGCAAGTTCAAATAGTTCTGACTTTGGACAAGTTCAAGTTCAAATAGTTCAATTCTCAGTACCATGCTTCAACCTAGAACTAAAACGCCGCATGTCCGCAAAATGCCTCCGTGCTGTTACCTAACAATCACCCTCAACTGCACACCAGCAGGGTTTAATCTCACCTATTCGCGCATGTGCCAAAGAGTAACCATCGATAAGCCACACCCACAGACGGAGACAGTCTGCGCAGCCGCTGCGCCGTTTCTACCGGAGTCGTCTTAGCCAGGCTTGCACGTTTGTTTCTTGCACTGAAGTTCGGACATGTTTTTATAGACTGTGGCAGGCTGTAGTTCAACTCTGCTTTGTCTGTGCCAACGAGAGACCTAGCACTAACCAAGATGTTCACCCGAAACTTCAGTTTCTTAAGTTTTGCAAGGCTAGCGTAGATTTTCTCCTTGTCTTAACATATGAACAGCGACGATTTGCAGGAAACCAAGAGAACCTTTAAACTGTGAAATTTTTCTTAGTCGAGCTTTTCATGTCCGATGGCTTTCGTAAGGCAGTGAACTGGTATGTGCCACAAAAAGTGGGTAAATCTCGTTGCGAATACGTGCCGCTCCCTGCCACCTCTTCCGCTAGTGCCTATTCGCACAGCGTGAAGCTACTCACTGCCACCATCGCTCCCACCACTTCTATACATAGAAGGGTGTAGTGGGAAAAAGCCTTACAATACACCTACTGCATTTCACTTCATTCAACTCTATTTCATTCGAATCTACTTCATTCAACTATGTAAAATAAATGGCGGAGCGAACGCTGCTTTGTAAGCCACCAGCTGCGTTGTTGTATTGTTATTCACCTAGCGGGGCTCACTGAATTTCATATACGATACAGCTTATGAACGAGGTCTGTCCTATGTGCTGCCGTATACACCACTGACTATGACATTGATGTTGATTTTGATAAAGAACAAGCGCGTTGCAGACCACACATTCTCTTCCCGCCATCATGGCACAACATTTGTAAGGTACCCACTACACGTAATGACTAGGACTATGACGCTGGTGGCGATGATGAGAATGATCATCATGGCAAACGACTGGCTTCTCGATATGATCTACGATGGATTTCATACAAACAGTCATTAGGTGAATGTGCACAGACATCGTCTTTGGCGACTTCAGGCTAGATCAAATAACACAAACTAGTAAAAATGAAGTCAAAACTACATTCACAACTCAACACAGCATACAATTTATGGCCCAAAAATTTTGTATGTATGTGTACACCGCTTTGTCAAGTAGTCAATATAACGGGTGGCTTACCGTAACACCGAATGATCTCCCTGCTACACCACTCGTAATCCTTAACTTCGTACATAAGGCTTGATTTTTTTTCTACAGTCATTTGCGTTACCGGCTTTTTCAAGCTTTATCACAACAGCCTTCTTTTAAAAATTGCAGCAAAACAGTGCCCTTGTGTCGTTCGTCACCAAAATTTTGGGTTAGGTGCTACCGAGAACATAACTGAAAGCACTTGAATGGCAGCCACTTCAAACGGTGACACCAGCCCACTCACCAATGTGTCCATTATGGACTCCAGTGGTAGAAAGTGCCGACCTGTGTCTATCAGGAGACCCCGGTGAGGAAATCTCGGCTCGTCATAGATCACTGTCTCGTTCACGACCCACTGCAATAGAAAGTGAACAGCATGTCCGGCAATGACTCTATGCAACACGTCGGTTGTACTTCAGGAGGTTTAGGTGCGTTGTGTCCTAGCGTTTGTCACTCACTTCAGATGCTTCCTTGTAAGATGCTTATTGTCGCTATAGTATGCCTAACATCGTCGCCGAACTGTGGCTTTGTTTTTCGCTAAGTATAACTCCACCGCGCAAAACTTCGAGCTTAAGCAGCTATGACACATGCTGCTGAAAAACGTGTGACTGGGAAATCTGATGTTAGATTCATACCAGAAACAGTCCAGTCACAGGTTTCTCAGGTTGCTCTACATTTCTGCGATTAATATTGGGTTTTCAGTCACCAAATGAAGCGTTGAACTACTCATGATATTCTTGATGGGTTAAGACAAAAAAAAAACTAACCTTGTAACATTAGGGTAGTGTGATTAGTAAGTGGTCTGTTCAATTTATTTCTTAAGTGTCTCTAAATTTCAAAGCCTTTTTGCAAGTTGACTATAGGACAATGATTCATAGCAGATGAATGCCGCCACGCGACAACCTACCGACATTCCATCCGGCGAGTATACTAGTTGACTGAAGGTTTCTAGTCCTCTGAGCACCCCCCAAACACTACGAGCTGAGATAAAGGATTCTTCTGTTGATGATATGGAAAGAGAATCTGAAAAAAAGTTTTTATTTTGTATTCGTCACAAAATTCATGTTTTAAAAAAATCTCATGTCTCATTCATTGCCATGCTCACGCCATCAGCTTAATTTACCCAAAGCACAAAGCATCGCAGTCCAAGGCCACATCTTAGTAGAATTCCCCGAAAAAGACTGAGACTCAGTACTGACCAAATCGATTTTAAGGATGTAATCATCCTTAAATCATCCTGATGTAATCAAGAGCACAGAAACCAGGAAGCATAAATATCTAAACGAGGCCCATTTAAAAAGGCTGATTACAATTACCAAAGCTAAGCCTAGAAAAAAGGAACTTGAGCTTAATTGTGTGTATTTAGGCGCCAAAATGAAACAGAGAGACGTGGTCGATCAAAATGAATGTAATACTCTGAGATAACAACGTGTGCATTCATCTGTAGTTGTCGGAACTTATTTGAAGTGCTGTCGCTTTCTGAACATTCTGTTTTATATATGAAGATAACTTTGGAATGAAGCTATCTTCCAGCTATTTCTTAAAACATCCTCATGACGTGATTTTGTGTTTTGTAGAGCTGGGAATGTACTTGTTAACGTAAATGATAAAACGGCGTGGGATGATCAAAAAGCCACTATTCCCCTTTTCGCATATGGGAGTAGGAACAAAGAATAATAATAAAAAGTTAATAAGACAGCGCCTGGTTTTTTAAGCAATCGTAGCAACCGCAACAACGGTCACTTCTATGAGTATTTCACCTGTCTTCAAGGCGGGTCTGTGAACCTCTGTGGACGAAAACATTGGAGTGAAGGTATTCCGAAATGTAGCGCAAACCTACACAGATGTTTCTGCAGATTCGTTGAAATTTCACGTTTTTCTCTTGAGAAATACTTGACGAAAGTTCTCTGGTTTCCAGAAACACACGGCCTCAAATGTACTGCTCTAGATTCGATTTTCCGACAATTAGAACTGTGTAAATAAAAGGTACTGCGTTGCGTTTGGTGAACACCTGCACATACGTGTACTGAAGTGCAATGCAACACCATGGCTGCTGGATAATATTCTAGTTTATTGCGAACATGGCAACTCCATGGGGTGGTGTTGTTCTGCAGAAGCAGATGTATGGCGTTCTACATAAAGAATATCGGGCTAAGTTTCAGTCATTTGTATTTCGTAAGCAGTTGTCAGCCCTGAAGTCTACAATAAATGGATATTTATATTATATCACAAGTTGTCATTTTCATGCCCTGCCCAAATGTGTCATTCATGAGCAAAGATTCACACCAAAACAACTTATGAAATACTCTTGTGTGCTTTTGCAACTGCTGCACACAGTTATAAACACAATTCTGTTTGCTAGCGTGCCCTGATGTAGCCGTGCAACATGACTGGATTGGCTGAACTTAAAGGCTATTACTACCTCTCACTGACGGCTGTCGTTAGCGCACGGTGAGACTTACAGCTTTCATCCATGCGATGATCCGGAATGTCTTCGCATTGATGGGACACCGTTACTAATAAAACATCGAGATGACCGTCGTGTGAAGGCGTCTGAGGGCTTAGCGCGGACCGAGTACGTCTGCGTCTAGCTCCTTCAGGTGTTTCAGATCTCGAGCAGTTTTGGAATAATATCTGACGTTGGTAGCGCTTCAGTGCCTGCTGCACTACGGGACAGGAACCCTCGTACTGAAACGAGAATGTGCTTGCATCTACAGACAGAGTCTTGTTGCTTTTCGTCTGGTTCGCGGGCTGTGGCCACACCTCGCCTTGTGTTGGAACGACCTGCAAAGAACCAAGGTACAAGGCATAATCACTCCACATTTTTATACGAGTTTCTAAATAATCTATATCGATTCTAATTATATCCATGCGTAGAGATCCCCTTCAAGGGGCGGGGAGGTGGTTTGAAGGTTCGCGTCAGCGCCCCCCTCTCATGTATATGTCAATGTATGGGCTGACATTGCATGCCCCACTATCGCACCCTCCTACTCGTCTTGACCCGCCCCCACCCCCCTGTCTACACACCTATATACTTCAAACTCTTCATGATTAGGGCAGGCCAGGAAGCTGGAATAACACTTCAAAGTTTTTTTTACTAGATTATTATCCTGTTGGGCTTTTATAGACCCACATAGAGTGTCTCAGGTATCGAGCATCATGTTTAAAACTAACAGAAACTTCTTTGTGTGAAGCACACCTAGTGCATATTTTTCTCAGAGAGAAAGAGAGAAACTCTTTGTATTATAAAAACAGAAATCCTATCGTCCATATGTCGCTGGCATGCTACTCTAAATAGGGTCAGAGAAGTGGACTAAAAGGTTTCAGAAGAGAGGAAAGGAAAGTGCTAAAAATAAAATTAGCCGGAATAAGTAGTGACCAAGTGAACCTGAAAGAGATATTTACAAATAAGGTATAAGGTAAAGCAAAACTTTTCTTTGTGAGCTTTTCTATCAACAGTTCCTTACGACAAGACTGATTCCGGTGAGATAATTGACTAATGACCGTATGACACAACGCTATTTTGAAGGTCCGCGCACTAAACCTAATACATTGCGCAAAAGGTAACTGATCTTGGCAAATCATGTCCATTTCTCGTTCAGACTATTGTCTCTCGTCACGGTACGCCGGACATATTGTCACGGGGTCGTGACGTGGCCGAAGACAGGAGACTTCGTGTTGGGATTGAACTGTTTATTTGGGCGAACCTGTGCCCGGTGAACGGAAAGTCCAATTACAGCAGCAATCTCGCACAGATTGCAGTCTCGGACTGATAGCGGCGAACGGAGCGTCGGCCTTCGATCAACAACTGACAAGCGGCGAAGCGCGTCGGAATTTATACTCTTGCCGTCGAATGTTCTAGCGTTATCGCTGGCGGTGGCGTAGGTTCCAGAACAATCTGTACCGTTCGCATAGTGGGCGTGATTTTACCGAAATGATCTACATCAGTCCGGAACCTTCTCGAAAGCTGCAGGCGTGGTTTGCGCTGAGAATCGTGTGGTGTTTTGGGACGATAACAAAAACTTGGGAAATGGAACGTGGCAATATTGTTAGTATGTATATTTTCATCAGCATAATATAGTAGCTACAACATGAAATAATACATGAAACATGAACAGAGTAAGCAGCTGCGTAAGCTGTGTTGACATACGGGCACGTAGTAGGCCCTTCACTTCGCGAAAACGGGTATTGTGACGTAGCGCGCTATTGTAATTACAGTAGACATTACAGAACAGTTTGAAACGGCTAATTTCGTACGCAACATCATTGGTTTCCTTACGGCATAGTTGGAAATCTATCTTTATGACTTACATTGATCGTGTCCTTTCATACAGCGTTGCGTGCCAGGCCACAGCACAACAAAACACTCTGAAATCCTATATATACACCAAGAACCTAAGCGAGGCTACAGCAGTTGAGACGGCGATGTACAGGGGTACCGATTTTGCTACCACGCTCTGCTTTCGAAGGCCGAACTCTCAGAGTTTTGTTCGAGCTCTCTTGATTCCTCCATGCGTCACCTCTACTTAGCGTGCTTGTCTTATTTCAATATTGCATGGACATACCGATACTAGTCACCCACTTACCACCCGTGGCCGCCAGGAGTCATCAATCTCGGTGACCCCTTCTTCATGGAACCTTGTCACGGCCAATACGAGGGAACCCGCCAGAAGCAATATGAACAACGCCACAGGTATAAAGCAGCGGGGCGTCATCGTGGGCCTCTTCTCCTGTGAAAACAAGACGCGCTGTTGGTTCAATGCGCGCTAGCATTGTTACTTTGACGAGTAACATCTGTTAGCAGTGATGATTTCAACAAGCCTTTCACAGCAGTCATGAACTTTAGAAGAAGGCGATGATATTCAGTGACATACTACAGTGGAAATGGTGTACAAAACGATACTCTCGGTTTTCAGTTTATTGCAGCGCACGTAGGGTGAAACGATGAACACGAACACAAAAACTAGAAGACAATACATATGCAGCCTTTACATATTTTGCTCAAATTTAGTGTGGGGAAAACCTGCAGATGGCTTACTATAAACGCTTGTGATGCTACAAAGTCAACAAGTTTGTAATGTGGTGGTCAACAACAGAAAATTCTTCGAGTGCTGAGTACGTGTGCATCACAAAAGCATTTCGTGTTCGTAAGTAACATTTTGCATTGGACAAATGCTATCGCAAATACATCAATAACTATAGCATTTTCTAAATTATTTACTCACAATATACTCTTGCGTGAAGATCTTTTCCAAACAGAGAGCCATAACTTACTAGGTTGTCGTGCTATTTAACTCCGCACTTCTTGGAATATTTTTTCCGGACATATTCGGGCTTCAAAATGTGTGGATGCGCAGACAGTCGTCATTGCAACAAGCAAAATGCGCAAGTTATTGCATTATTACTTTTTTAAAAAACCAAATCCGCTTATCTACGCTTGAGTTGTAAAATGAATGCCCCAGAGCGTTTTATTGGCCTTGAGGTTCTGGGCCGAAGATGAAGACTCATAATGCGACTAATGCGATGATTTCTAATGAACATTGATCGATTGGTGAAGTGTGAGTATACCAAAAAAAAAACAGAATTTCATCTGGATTAGATGCGAATGCCACCCTGCTTGCAATTGAAAATTAATTTTTTACCCAGCAGTATTTGTTCGTACAGTAGCTGACACAAAACAAGTATTATAAACAATTATTAAGAAAAGACTCGTGGGTCTGTGAATGCACGAAAATGTACTGATTAAAAAGGAGGCATAAAAACTGATCTCTACAGTAATGTCAGAAATAGATAAGCATTAAGTATGATGAAAATACTTGGAAGTATATAGTATAAAAAAACGAGAAAGCAACAGAGAAAAAACCAACAATCTTGGCACACCTTCCCTTTCAGTGCCCACCGTATTGGTGTAATGGTTATTATGCTTTACTGCTGACCCGCATGTGCCCGAATAAATCCCGGCCATGGTGGCCACCTCTGCGATGGAAGCGGGAAACGGTTATAGGTCGGTGTAATTATACTTAGGTTCCCTTTTAGAAACCTCAGGTGGTCAGGCATACTGAAACTCTCCGCTATAGATACACGCACCTCGTAATCATATCGTGGTTTTGGAACATGAAACAAAAATAGTAATTATACTTACTCGGAGCACCAAAGCAACCACTAGCGTCAGTACACGTACCCTCACAAAAACACTGGTGCTCAATGTATGGCACTATCATTATTTCTTTGGTCGTTAGAGTATAATAAAATGAAAAAATGTCGTACAATAGGTGACGAGAAAAAAACGTCCACTTTCAGGAGAAAATGCGTCCACTTTTGCCACAAACCACTCGGTCATGCGTTGACGTCAAACGGGTAAAGAATTTCCCGCAGGTGGTACCAATAACCACTAGAGCCGCTTACAGCACGCCTCAAGTATGGAGAAAACTGTAGCACTCACACGATGGTTGGTCGGGATTCAATTCGAGGCAACGAATGCCGCACGAACGAACGCTGAAGGGCGTACAGAGATAACTTATCACCACACCGATTGATTATAAAGAAAGTTGCTGGGCGAGAGCGATACGCTCTGCACGTGACAGATATTCGACGTCGGGAAGGTGGTTTATCGAGACAATAATATACTGTTTGTCGGAAAACTGAAGTGGGAAGCACAATTGGAGTAGAACGAGTGCCCTCCGCTAGCTAGCACTCACTGATAGCTCCAAACTAAGACGCGACGCGTTCACTAGATTGTCTGTGAAAAAAACTCACCGTGTGTAACAAGTGTGAGATAAAAACACGCCTCAAAATGATTACCAAGGCCTATTTTGAAGCTTTTGCAAGTTTTAGTGCAACGGCAGGAAGTGAGAGGTGGAGTGACCATTAAAGAGGAAGACAGAATAGAAATGTACACCGTGGCGTTTTTTTTTTTTTTCGCACTGAAGGCACACTGGCGCTGTGCGCAGAGATGGAAGTAGGATCAGCACGTATGTTATGAACAGCACATATGTTACCTAAGAACAGCACATATGTTATGTTGTGGGAGTGATTTCCAATTGGAATGAATGCAGACTGCTTCAGGCCCATTTATCCCTATGTGGATGCGCAATAAGGAACCCCTTTTGGTCGACATTTCCGGAGCCCTACACTTACTGCATCCAACCTAATCCTATCGAGGTTTTGCAACATCAACCCTCAATAATATTTGAGCACTGGGCAACACACTGACGCGAAAGCGATTATTTTGAAGAGATCTTAAGCTAGCTGTTATACGTTGGCCAAAATTTAGCCATTCGTCTTGCTTTATTCGACCTAAAGCAGTAGGTTGAGCAAGTTTGTTTCTAGCTTCCATATTTACCGGGTAGATACACACGAGGCCCAGAGCGTGATACGTTGTCATCGCTTTGTGTGTCCTGTATGCCCTCCTTTCTGTAATGCAGACTCATGCTTTAAATATAGAAAGTTCATAGTTTTGTGTTCGTCTCACTTCGTCAAATTTTTCGTGCCGATTTTGTGCCTCAATCACGAACACGGTCTTTTATCATTTACTTGTGAAGACTACAGATGTATTTCTATTTGTGTGGACAACAGATATATTGCTCTTCGCCCTCTGCTACTAGTCTTGCAATTATTTGGCTTTGCGGCTGTTGACTATCTGGTTACTTCTTGTTATTTAACAAGAAAATTGTACACTTAAGCAGTGAACATGATCCTACAAGTGCTCAAAAATGATACGACGCTGCTCTCAAAAGTTCGCAAGCTGACTCGCCGTTCAGGATACGGATAAAGCGACCGACTTCTTCTGTTTCTGAGGCCCTTGTGAAAAAAAAAAAAGAACACAAGGGCTACATTTTCGAGACTTAGGTCACTTGAGTGTCGCTGTTACGCAGCTCTACCCGTCTGACATTTCCAGTCATGGTCAGAGTATTGAAGTTTGCGGTCCATACTTGCAATCTTCACACGTCTCAAAAAACGCGCAGACAAGTTACTGCGTGTAGCGCTTTCCTGTGAGTCAAATTCACATTAATGTTTTTCGAGAAGTCTTCCGTAGCGAAACAAGTTACTGCGTGTAGAGCTTTCCTGTGAGTCAAATTCACATTAATGTTTTTCGAGAAGTCTTCCGTAGCGAAAGACTAGATTGCATAGATTTCTGTTTCGTCTATCACTATCCTTGTGTTATCGCCTTGCGACAAAAGCTCATCGACTCTGAGTCTGCCTCCCGGCTTTATTCTGCGAGTGAGAAGCATAGGCACCGTGCAATCTCTTGGCACACTGTAAAAAGTGGACGATTCATACATGATGGTATACGAAATGTTAAAGAATCCACGTGATGAGGTTTCCAAATAACTCTTCGACAGACGTCACGAAACGCCGCTGCGCGTGATGTCACTTTGTATCAGTTCCGCCCAAACACTGTCAAAAAAAAAAAGCAGCTGTGATTTGTAACCAAATTTCTCTGTTTTATAGCATTCCGATCGCAATTAAAAGAACATTCTCAGCTGCTTCTTGCCATCGTCGTTTGTCACTGCCATCGTGCCCCGTACATGTCAGCATCATTATCAGCAGATGCCTTAATACGCCCAGTGCAGGACAAAGGCCTTTCTCATGTTATACCAGTCATTTCGGTCATGTGCTTGCTGCTGCCACATTATACCCGTAAACTTCCCAATCTCATCTGCCCGCTTAACTTTCTGTCTCCCCTACACCCGCTTGCCTTCTCTCGAAATCCAGTCCGTGATCCTTAACGACCAGAGGTACTTTTGCCTTCGCGGTACGTGCCCTGCCCATGACCAGTTGTTCTTCACTTCAACTGTGATCCTGTTAGTCCTTGATACATTAGGCTCCTTTCTTGTCCCTTGATAAATATGTTGGGTTTAACGTTCCAAAACCATCATACGATTATGACAGACGCCCTAGTTTAAGGCTCCGGAAATTTCGACCACCTGGAATTGTTTATAGGGACACTAAAACCAACTATTAAGTTGGCGTTGATTATTGAAATAGCTGCCCAGAAACCTCGTAGTGTTACTTTTGTGCCAAGGAAGGGCCTACATTTGAAATAAAATCACGTTTTAGTGGTCCGCATCGGGCTAGCGCACTTCAAATTACCCGTTTCAAGAAGCCGACCGACCGGACCGAATCACGTCACTGTTGTGCGCAGCGTTGCCCGGCTTTACTGCGCTAGTAGCAGCAGACCGAAAGCTGTGGGAGCCACAGCAACAACAACGGCCGTTGATCAATTTCCCGCCATTCGCTTAAAAACTGCAGACGTCCTTTGTTTCGACTGCGCCACGCTAGATGACACTACATGTCCGATGCAACCACGCGAAAATTGAATTTTTGAACCACTCGCGCCATTTCCCATACTAACGTCCGGCGGTTCTTTTTTCTATGAATGTAGCAGAAACGAACAAGCAGCATTTTATTGCGTCTCTTGATGTACGGAAGGTTCTTTATTTAGTGCAGTTAGAGTGATTATTGTTGAATATTTGTAGGCGATTCTTCTGCTGTCATTGGAATCATTTTGCAAATGTCCTACACTGGCACTTGTGCTATTGTACATTTGCTTTATTTCTCGGTAAGTAGGGCACTGTTGTTGATAATATTGTCGTTTTAGATGTTGTCATACATTGAGCGTGCACTCTGACGTAAATTGTTATTAGACTTTAGCGTCCCTTTAAAGTCGACCCAAAATTGAATGCATGGGACCCAAATCTGAATGAACAGCTGCATTTTTGCCTCCATCGAAAATGCAGCTGCCGCAGCCGGGATTCGATCCCACGAACTGCGGGTCAGCAGCCAAGTGCGTTAGCCAATAGACCACCGTGGTGGGGTTAGATAGAGCCGCTGCCAGGTGTCTACAGGCACGCTTTGACGTGTCCTCGTACACGTTGAGCGTGCTGAAACGCGTGAACGTGGTGCACATACCCCTCGCTTTGCCCGATGTGTGTCGTGTTGTAGTACTTTGGAAAACGCAAGGCCAGGGAAGAAGTCGACACTTCGCTAAAAACTGTGACGCAGCGGGCAAGCAGCGATTCTAACGGTTACTCTGCGCTACGGTTTCAGCAATATGGTGTGCGCGGTTTAATACTTTAGCGAGACTGTGTTGTCGAAAGAACTGATGCTTCCCGATGTAAATTACGACTATAACATGGATGAAAGTGTTACCTTTTGACGTAGTACAACCATTTTGGGGCGTAAACTTACGAGTATTTATTTGCAGCCAAGTGACGAACTAGTGTTGAGAGGGAAAGTGCAGGAATTCAGAGTTTCGCTTCAGAATACATTCTAGGATCCAAAGGAGGTAACTGACGTTAGCATTGACATAATGAGTGATACCCTTACTACACACTAAACAAAAATGACCTGAAATAACCTCAAAAACTGGTTAAACCATTTGTCCTCTAGCGCACTACCTTTCCTGGGTTTTTTTTACCACCTACTACCGAGGTAAAAATTTACTCTCGTGCTAACTGAGTTTTTGAACGTAGCGAGAGTAGTAATTATTTACCCCAGTGAGGTTTTCAGGGAGTATAGAGAGAGTAAATTTTTACTACCTTCACAAGGTTTTTTGAGGTGATTACTGGGAGTTATTTCTGGTGGTAAAAAAATAAAAATGACGGGTGCATTCGCCCAGAGTCGACAATTTTATTGAATAGCAGAATTGATTTTAATTTATTGAACGGCAGAATTGGTGACACATACATTCACATACAGACAAACACGCACACACAACAAATGCAGAATAATACGCCACTAGAACAGACTGCACGCGTTGCTCGACTACATTTCGACAATCCGGTATATATATAGGCACGACTTTTTGACCGGATATGTAGTACCGGTAGGAGAGCTCTTTTTTTTGCATCGATTAACAACAACGCTTGAAGGTGCAAGCGTAAGCTTTAGGTGGGCTGCAGGGCACTAAATATCACACCAACCTTTTATTATAAATCTACACGATCTCACTTTTTGATTATCCAATAATTGCTTGGCACACCGGGCTCTTTGCCCCACGCGTGTTAGCACTGCTGATGCACAAGTCCACAAAATATACCTAAGTACGCACAAAGCATGGCAGCTCAATGATTTTCATTCAGCGACGGTGCACAAACACAGTAGCAGCACGTATTCATCACAACGGGCGTAGAAGAGCGGTCCACGCCTGCATACAAGCTGCTTACCGACGGCGTTCTAGGCCTTTTTGAGGAGCACGGCTATCCGATAAAACACAGCTGGCGATCACAGAACACATATTCTGTGCGAATTTCGTCGTCATTTCAGAAACAAATGAACACGTCACCGCTATCTTACGGGGACGGGGTGGTGTATGCACACTTCCAACGAAAGACCACCATCCGGGTTTTCTTCGTGCTGACGGGCAGCCTCTTGTTGTTTCCGTCTGCCTCGTATAGGATTCGCGCTACATGTT